ATATGAATGCAGGACAGACCAAAACATTGCTAACATGAGCGTTGAACCGTACGGCAGGTACTTCTGCCTAAGTAAATAGAAGTACGCATTAAATGCCGATCTGTTATTACCATTATTTTTGCTAAAGGTGGTGTTAAAGTGTTATGCAAAAATTGTCAGGGATAAATTGCACGGCACGTGAGATAAGGGGTTACTTTGGTTTCGGAGTTATAAAACTGTCAGCAGCAAGTCACACATGTCCGTGTGATGTAAAGGGACGTGAAAGTTGTTTTCAATTACACCTGTCCAAAGACAGCTGAATTTCAACATTCCCGCTGGGAAATTGCGAAACGGTCCGACCCAAGTTCCATGTGTGCATATTTACGATGCAAGGAATGAGAAAACAATTGTACTATAGTATACGGAACGATACCAAGATTTGAAAGCATAACTAAAGGTCATTTCTAAGTCCAGGACTACATTTACTTGCTCTGTATCCTGTGTAAGGGTGCGACCCCCGCACTCTCGTCATTAAGCAATTTATCGCAGTCCCAACGTACAGCCTCAAATTTCGAGTGTTTTCTTGCCTGTGAATCCTCAAACAAACACCTCTGCCGACTAAACACCCGGAACTGAATTAGAAATGCCAGCGAACACTTACCTCTCGCAATCTTCGAAGTCTGCCGGATAGTTGCAGAAGCAGTACCAATTCCGTAACGACAAGGTGGACGCTGTCTAGCACCAGCAAGTAATGCAACCAAAACCCACAGAGATGCGACCACTGTGCTCTGTTTGCCCGACAGGCCAAGATATTAACTGTAGTTTTATTGCTGAATAACAAAGACTAACAATACAGCAGATCACAACGAAACGACCACGCAGAATACTCGAGAATGTCCGCACAATCCATTAGCATACCCACAGTTACAAGGCAGAACGAAAACAACTGCAAACATTCCCGAATCGGTCCAAGCCTCACGGTTGAGGAGTAGATGTTCAGCACAAAAAGATTAATAATAAAAACAAACACAGAAAACATAATCAGGAATCTTTCTTCACGACCTCGACTGGAAGGAGTTCGAGTTGAATCTTCCATTTCGTAGCGCAGTCTCTTTTCATTTAACACGGTCACATCTCAAATTTTTGTCCCCTTCCTTTTGTTGCCACTTGTGAATTCAGGTCAAAGAACAGGCTAGTACCACAACTCGAAGGAACTACAGATAGAAAAAGAAAGCGAACTCACCAATAAATGGAAAGCAAACAGATTGAAATCAAGTGACATGCACTTTAAATTGGCTTGCATGGTCTTACGCTCAATTCAAGCTAGTTGCTGCTTTCCCCGTTCCCAAGTTAGGAAGTGGGAATTTAAAAAAACTATTCTTTCAAAACTGGACTACAGACCACGGGAAATCCTGGTTCATGAATTCCTATTCACAGAATGTTTTTGTTAGCTTAAAACGGATAGAATCCGAGGCTGGGAATTTCGAGATTTTTGTCGACTGCACGAGATGAACTGGATGAGTTGCAACCAAACTTCATACTTTTCTCCACCTATGATCGCACATTCAAATGCGCACTGGTTCGAACGCGGAAGCGACGCATGTCATTCATGCACTATGCTGAATAAAAGGTCGTTTTGACAGATTCCCGTGCTGGATTAATTCCAAGTGAGGTATCCACAGTGGTGTAGGGCAAAAGCACATCGGTGCTGCTCTTGACTGGTTCCTCAGCCTCCCCAAACCCCTACCGTGTTCGCCAGCCTCCATAATCCCTTCCAGTCTTTTTTAGACACTGTCGGAATGAAGGACCAGAACACTGGGCTATCCGACACAGCTCTTCCCGCAAGGGCACTGGATATTTATAAAAAGTCTCGAACGCAAGGGAAGAATTCAGCAACTTTACATCTGTAACGTATGACTAGATAAATTTTGTATCCTGGCCCCTCGCATGCTCCGTTTTCAATTGGCTTCTCCAACTATGGATAAATGCTCTACCTGCAAGACCCCACACACTTTCCTGTGATTCTTTCATCCCTGAATTTGTTTAACTCATAAAAAACAAAAAGTACGATGTGAAAAAAGCAATGAGAATCAAATTTTCAACATGATACATTTATCAAAAAGGAGAAAATTTAGTTTTCTTTTCCCTCCATTTCACTTCCCTTGCTGTCATCCTTTCCTGTTTCGTTTCGTTCCCTTTCGTGCTCACTTTCCTTGCTTTCTTCAGCTGTTTCTACAATTTCTCGTTTTAACGGGGCAGTGGTGTCGTCGTCCTTTTCTACCGCGTTGCTCGCAAGATCTTCGGAAAAGTTGACCAATTCGTCAGGCATATGATCCGGAAGTTTCTTCCCGCGTGTTTCCGGAACAAAGAAAAAGTACAGAAGAAAATCAGCAGCACTTGTCACGAACATCAGCAGGAACGGTGCTGGTGGCCAATGTTCACTCTGAAATTCGGATGATTAAAACAGCCAGAAATTCGACAAATTTTCATGCAGCAACCTTCACAAATAAATAACTGCAACAAGGGTAACAACAAAAGAAGCGAAAAATGATGGAATCTCCTCAAAAAGACTTCCTCTCTCCATGCATTTCATTTCTGGAAAAAAAAGTGAGCGGGAACGATATTATAACAGCAGGCTACCCGTTGGCAAAACCATTGGACGTCGTCATTTTTGAACAGTAATTAGGCGACAAGCCATAAATAGTTTGAATTTTTTTGATTTCCAAGTACTACGCCAATACAGCATATACAAGGTGTATTTGGGTGAAGTGTTAGAGATTACGAAGCACACTACTGCTCTTCATCACACTAACCTGCTGCTCCACGGCTTATCTGAACTGGTTTAAGCATTGCCAAGCCTAGAGATTACTACATCCTACGCATCCGATGATGGTCAAACAGTCACCTAACATCCATTCCGTAAAGAGTAACATTTATACCGAACACTTACCGGAATGAAAACAAGTGGGCTAATAATGGTGCCCAGACGATTGAATATTTGTATGAATGCAATGCCAGCACTTCGAATTGGTGTCGGGAAGAGCTCCGTCGGTTGTACAGAATCCAAGATGAACAACTCGGTGCAAATTGCAGCAGCCAGAAGTGAAGCGTAACGCGTGAACACGACAATCGCGTGGACTAATGCATCTCCTCAATTATTTCTTATTTAGGCTCTGCTCTTGGCAAAGGAGAATCCTGATCAGTCGGAAGAATGCCCCGTGCTTTCGAATGTTCCGATGCTATGGTGGCAATGTTGTAGCCCTATCCAGCTAATCTAGTAATTTGACATTTGAAGGGTACATAGTAAATTACATTGCCAGTGACTCAAGAAGTAAGAATTTTAAGATTACAGTTCTACTAATTCTCACTGCACTAGGTGACTTACCTTGTCCAGTAAAACAAAACAGCTTTCGGGCAACTCTATTTACTACATATTATATCGCCAAAAACTTCAATTCCGGTTTTTTGATCAAAAGGTGCCAACACATCCTTTCCTATCGTTCTCCAAATATATGCCGTTGGCATAAAAAAAAAAAAACAAGCTTCACACTGCAGTGAAATTCAAATATGAGAACACCTAGACTGCTACAATTCGCAGCCTATGCAGCTGGCCACATTTAAAGTAGCTTTGTCCAATGCTGCATTTCCTGGTGGTCAGTCTGTTTGTAACTAGGAAGCTGCTTTGTTTTACTGGACAAGGTAAGTTACCTAGACCTTCTGTAACAATTACCAGCTCAATAGCCCTTCCGGAAGAAGCACGTGACAAGGTTTAAGTCATTTCAAGAAATGCATGCCATACCTCAAGCATCAACGTCACGCCTCAAGTACTGTCACTCCTAGAACACGACGGCTAGAATGATCATTGCAATTTAACCTCAAACTTCCAGTTCCCTCAAATGCAGCATTTTTGAAGTTAGACTATCGAGAACGAAAGCAAACGGCTTTCATTTCCTGATGCGATTTTAATCTGCATTCATAAAAATCGTAAATGCTTAATATTTTTACCTTCACCACCAGCTTTCGTAACAACTTTGTAAGTGTCAATTTTTGGCCCTGAAAATTAAATCACGCTTATTTTGAATTATTTTCAGCCGACGTATCATTAAACCATCACCACTGCTATTAACAATAACTGAGCTAATTTTTATGAAAAAAAAAACCATGAATTGTACAAGTCTAAAAACCCCGGTGCAATTCAAAAGTGGCTTTGCTTTTTCGACAGATCAAATGATGTGTTTAAAGCTCGCTCTACAAGTGAAACGAAAAGAGGGAAAGCATGCACATGTAAATATGTAGATGATGAAAAGAATTCCCAGCAAAAGAGCAATAAGTCCGACGGAAACGAGGTGCAACAGACGTCGACCAATACTTTTCACGGAGAATTCCAAAGCAGCAACAACGATATTGATGATCCACCGAGAAGCACCAAGAATTATGACGTTTACGTAGACGTTACCGGACAATGCTTCCATGTTGTATGCAATGCCATAACTGACAAAACTCGCCGAAAATCTGCAGTTGAAACAATAGTGCATAATACAAGTCTTGTTTTTGTATTGTTACAAGACGAATTTTTTCAAGGAGGCAGGCGCCAATTCGTCTACTCAAATAAGACAGTCACGTGCCCAGACTTTTGGAACGATACTTTTTAAAAGAGTAGAAGATAATTTCACAAATTTTCGGGATGGCAAGCATTAATAACTGAACCAGTAAGCAGGTGATTTTTAGATACTACTCGCTTTTTAGCAAAGGACACTACTTTTTTCTTTTTTTTTTTCTCTCTCTCCGTGTGAATAGAATTTACAAACAGCGAAAAAAAAACATACAGGCTTGTGGAGAAGACCACTGCGTACCAGCCCAGTTTCCAATCCGAAAACAAGTGATAAAAATAATAGTTCTTTTTGCTGGTTTTCATTTTTTCCAGCTAAAATCGGCAAATTAATTCAAAATCTTCTCCGTGAATGTTTCCCTATACAAAGGCCAAAAAAAAATTAGTATTTGAATTTGGTAGGGAAATTTTTACAAACTTCGTCATCGGCGGCTTTCTGAACGACCATGACAATTTGTTTTTCCAGTTCGGGCGCTATTTTTCCATCCCATTTACGGATATAAATCGCTGCCTTGGCTGCTTCTCGTCCCCTGCCTTTCTTGATTAGCCAGCGAGGCGTTTCCTTCAGGAACCTAAACTTCGGGTAAGATCACTTGCAAAATAAAATTTTTCACTTTTTTAAACTAAAGTCACAATTTATAAACGAAATGCTTCATTAAATGCTGAGCAAAATTTCATTTCAATTTCACCCATCCCGTACACTATTTGTTGCATGGGTTAAAAAAAAAAGTTAGAAATGACTAAACAAAATAAATGACAAGCAATAACAAAGTGATGCTCATATGGCAGGCTGATTTCAAAGACGAATTCGTGGGAATTATAGCAGGAAGCTGAACTGATGGAGAAAAAAAAAAACAATATTCTGGCTACACGACTCTATGAACAACAAACGAGCATAGGAACGCAAAATCCCTACAGATAAGCGTGAGGTGAATTACAATTTATGCAGGAATTTGCTATATTTTTGCAATAAAAAGACAAAAGAGCATCAAAAATTGCTGTGGAGCACCGATCCGCAGAAAACCAAGAAAAGACAGATTCGGGTGTTAATCGTAGCATGCAGCGCTAAAAAATGCCATAACTGAGCTATTTTCTTTATATTTTGAAATAATAAACAGGAAGCCAAAACTACTTTATCGGCTCCCGGAAATTTTAACGACTTTTTTTCATCATTCTTCATCACATATTGCACTCCCTGATGTGCTATGGACAAAAGCCAAAAGAATGATACGAGGGGTTTAAATGACACATCAAATTTGACTCTACTTTTTATGAATATTTGTTTCTCCGAAACATTCGACATCGCTGTTTATAAACAACGGTAGAGTTGCACAACCGGCGGAGTCACAAACTGGAAATTTGAGGGTGGCTCAGGAGCTAATAACCTAAAATCCAGGTTTCATTTCTCGACTTGTTCCATAATTTTAGCCCAAATTTATGCTAATTTTTTGATTTAAAAACAACGAGCTGGATGGTTTGAACTT